CAACGCAAAGAGCTTTTCTTCCAAATCAGTAGCAGGAGGAATAATTTCATCAAGCGCTACCTCCGGCTCAGGAAGAGCCTTACGGTCAACCTTGCCATTAGCATTGAGAGGCATTACTTCAAGCTGCATGTACACCTCTGGCACCATGAATTCAGTCAGTGTTTCAGCTAAATGAGCCTTCAAATCAGCTTTATTGATTTTTGCCTCAGCTACATAGTAACAGCAGAGCTGGTCATTCTTTACATCCACAGCCACCTGCTTAATACCAGTAAATGAAGCTACGCGGTTTTCAATTTCACCAAGCTCAATACGCAGACCACGCAGCTTTACCTGCTTGTCAATACGTCCTAAGAACTGAATACCATCATTTTCACTCCAGCGAACTAAATCACCGCTTCTATACGCACGTACCGGCTCACTGTTCTCTGTTGGCTTAAACATAATGAACTTTTCTGCTGTCAGCTCTGGGCGGTTCATGTAGCCACGAGCCACGCCCTCACCAGCTATAAGCAGCTCACCAGCCGCTCCCTTTGGCAGTAAATTACAGCTCTGGTCAATGACATACAGCTGATAATTTGCCAATGGATAACCGATATATTCACCCTCAAAATATCCCTTTACATCATAGTAAGTGGAAAACAGGGAACACTCAGTAGGACCATATACATTGAGGAAACGGAAATCAGGCGGAGTAACAGGAGGCATCTTCTCACCACCAGTACTCAGATAACGCAAGGAGTGATTTATTTCCCTGATAATGCAGCCTACCTGAGTAGTTATAAACGCTACAGAAATATTATTTGCTTCCATGTAAGCATTCATGCCATTTACATCCATGCGCATTTCTTCATCAAAGATGTAAACAGCAGAGCCTGCCAAAATAGAAGGATAGAAATCAATCATGTGAGCATCAAAGCCAAAATTTGCATATCCAGCAACCCTGTCAGCCATAGTCAGCTCAAATTCATTTACATACCAGTGACAATAATTAGCGATACCATAATGCTCCAAATCTACCGCCTTTGGCTTGCCTGTTGAACCGGATGTAAATATGATAACCAGTCTGTTATGTGCCTCTGGGAACGCCAATTCTGAAATTTCTTCAGCAGAAGCCTCTGGAATATTATTTAACTCACTGCTATTAAATCTAGCACCTGCAAAATCAGGTAATTTTTCCTCTAAAAGACTGCCCTCTGAAAGGGATAACCTTAACAGACGCATCGTCACACATAAAGCTCAGACGGTCCGTTGGGAAATGAGGGTCAAGTGGCATATATGCCGCACCATTTTTCATTATTGCCAATGGATAAATCAGCATTAATTCGGAGCGGTTAATCAGTACACCGACATTTTCCTCTGCCTTAATATCGTATTTTTTTCTTTAAATAAACTGCTAAATTATCGGAAATTCTGTCTAATTCAGCATAAGTATATTTCTTATCCTTGAAGATAACTGCAGTTGCATTTGGAGATTCTGCTACACGATTTTTGAAATAGAAACGATAGTTTCAGAATGGTCACGCTCTAATACAGGACCACAGCCAAGATTGATCAATTCCTGTATATCCTTCTCGTCTGCAATCAGAGAAATTTCCTTTAACTTAGCCTCTGGATTAACCATCATATTAATAATGGTATTCTTTATAGCTTCTGCCAGCATTTTCAAGGTCTGCTGATCGTACATAGCCTCACAGGACTCTAAACGAATATCAAACTTATCCTCATACAGCTTTATATGAACACAAATATCATCCTGCTGCATACCACGAACAAGCTCAATAGCCTCAGATGCTTTGCCATTTATTTTATATTGAGTAATCATACTCTTAATGGCTTCAAAATTAAATACTACTCGTGGGAAATTATGAATATCCGTAAAAAGGTGACGAATAGGATATACACCATTAGAAAAAGCCTGCTCCATTTCCGTTTGGAGATTTTCAGTCAGCTCTCTTACAGTCAAATCGCCATTTACATCCGCTAAGACTGATACAGTATTAACAAACATACCTGTCGCCTTCATCTTATCCTTTGAAGTACGGCCATGAAAAGCAGTGCCATAAACTAATTTTTGCTGACGGGTAAGGCTGCCCATAGCATGACTGAAAGCCGCCTGAAACAGCATATCAATCTTAATATTATTTTCCTTGCAACCATGCTTCACACTGCTCCCTGTTTATAAAAGAAGACACGCGAAGCATTTTGCCAAGCTTGCTGCCATCACTGTTGCTGAGAGTAACAAATTCCTGACCAGAAAATTTATCTATAAAATACTTTCTGGCACTGATATATGTTTCTGTTTCCTGTAAATTCTTTTCCTGTTCGGCAATTTCATAAATAGTACGGTCTGTAGCCTCAGTCTTGCCCTTATAAAATTTATCCAATTCCTTAGAAGCAAGCTTGACATAACCAAAACCGTCCATAATAGTATGATGTATGTCTACCAGCTGGTAAAGTCCATTTTCTGTAGTCACCAGCTCAACACGGAATAAAGGCTCTCCACTCAAAACATCAAAAGGACGTACAAAGCCATTTTCTGCATATTCATCTAATTCTTTCTGACTGCAGCTGCGTCTGGTAATGACAATCTCCATATTGTCATCAGACCATTGAACAGGATTGCCTGACTCATCTATTTCGTAACGATTTCTAAATACAGCCTTAGTCTTAATAATTTCCGTCCATGCATTAGCTAATTTTTCTTCATCAACACTTTCATCAAATTTTGTATAAGTTGGTAAATTATACTGGGTAGATTCTGGAAATTTTACACATTCCATAAAGACACCCAGCTGTGATTGCAGTAAAGGATATTTTTTCATGATATACTCCTCTCATCATTATTACGCTTTAACAATTTTATTTAATATTTTCGTTTTCTATTTTCCATCTCAAAAATGTTGCATTCTGTCCAAATGAATACTGATAAGTAATATCCTGACAATATTTACGGACTAGATTCAGACCTATAGTTTGTTGATTGGTGTATGCCTTAGTAGGATCAAATGCTTTCCGTTATCCTGTATATAAGCTTTAATTTCATCTTTTTCTATAACTATACCTACATCAATAAAGCTCTTCTCTCCTCTGCCAGAATGGTCTACAATGTTTATTGATAATTCCTCCAGGCAAAGAACAACGCGGTCTATAATTTTGTCGTTAATTTTTAATTTTTCACCAAAACCTCTTATAGTATTTATATTATCCACTAAGCCATCATGATTACATCTTACAGATATATTCATGCGAGAATCATCATTTTTTACTACAGGTAATAATGAAATCGGGCTTAATTCTATATCAGACTTTCTTCTTACTATCTCTGAAATAATCAATATGGTGAACACTGCACCAAAGCCAGCAAATGGGAATACATACCATAAGTCATCATAGTATTCCATATAATATACATAACCAAAGCCTATAGCTGTAAAAATAGGCAATGCCGCTATTGCAGGGGTACAGAGTGAAAGCTTCCCCATTACCTGATAAGCTATTGCCAGCATTACCAGTAAACAAAGTGCCAATGTGAACCACGATGCTATTGGTAAGGCATGCACTGCCATATCTATATACACTGCTTCTTTAGCACCAAATAAATCTGCAATTTGCCTAGCTGCAAACTGACACAATACTACTGCTATTACTGAAGTAGAAACCGCAATAGCAAGACATCTATTATAAAGCATCCTCAACCCAACATAATCACCACGCCCCACCATCATACTGCCAATCGCTGAAAAAGCCGTACTGCTTCCTCCTGCTAACAGCAAGCCAAAGCCCATAGTAATCAGGATAATAGACATGACAAACATGCCCGCCTCACCCTGCATTTTTTGGATAAAATAGTTTAAAATCACTATTAAAGCCGTAGATGACAATGAACTAAACATCAGTGGAATACCATTTTTGATATTTTCCCCTAGAGTCGCACCGAACTTCAAGCCTTCAAGACTAAGCTTGTATGGACTTTTTTCACTTAGCATAAAATTGTAAAAGCCAGAGGATAGATACACAGCCTGCAATAATGGTTGATATAGCCGCTCCCCTTATATCAAAGTCCAGACAGCCTACCAAAATAAAATTCATAACCAGATTGGTAATACAGTTGGCAATAGACGTCTGCGTAACAATTGCAGGATTACCACCTACATCAGTCAGCTGATCCAAACTATGAGTCATAATAGAAACAACACTGCCAAGCATAATTATTCCCAAATAGCCTCTTACCAATGAATATAGATTATTGCCTATGCAGAGCCAGTTTGCAATATCGTCCACCCAAAAGTATGAAATTACAGCTAAAATAATACCTGCTGCTATTGTCGATAGCAGTACCGTAACAGTTATATGATTAGCTCTTTCATTATCTCTTGCTCCCAAAGCCTTTCCTACCAGTATAACAGCACCCCCTGCCATCAAAGAGGATATTGCACCGATAAAGGATAACGCTGGACTGGATACACTAATAGCAGCCAAAGCTTCTGGACCTAAAAAGTGTCCCATCATTATCGAATCGACTGCTCCATTAATCTGAAGAACAGCCATCGTCAATACTGATGCTACCATATATGTTTTTAAATATTTATTAACAAGATAATCATTTCTTTTCATGTAATCATCTCCAAAAGAATACTTTACTAAAATATTTTACGTTATAAATATAAAACTATTACAACAATTATTGTAACATATTCATCGAATAAAAATCAACCGTTTTTTTTTTTTTTGAATTAAAGCTTTAAAGCGTTAAAGTGTTTTTTTATGCCATCATATGAGAAAATGCTTCTTGCGTTTTTTTTCTGATTGATAGTAACAAAAAGACCATGCACCAGCTAATCCAGCACATGGTCTTGATATATATTTCTCTAAGAATTCTATTCTACATGGAGATTTTTGTCAAGAAGGAATCAATCCAATAATCAACCTCGCCCTTGAAGGCAATGTTTTTCTTATGGAATACAGGTGTATCCTCTCTATCACGCTGAGCAATATAGTCGTCAAGTGCCTTGATAGCAGTACCACCCAATATAATGATAGTAGGGAATGTTTATAATTGCCATGAAGCCCATGGTAACGTCTGCGATATCCCACAGCAACCCCATTTTTGCACCAGCACCTACAAAGATAACTATACATGCGATAATGCGATATACAGTCATAAACGCCTTGCTTGGCTCATGTCCCAGTATATATGCCAGACAGTTATCTACATAGAATAAGTTACCCAGCAGAGTAGTGAACGCAAACAGTATCATGGCAATGGTGAGATAGTACAATGCTGCATCACCGAGAGTTTCTGCCAATGCTGCCTGAACATAAGGTGCACCTGCCATATCTGGATTGGTTGTGATACCAGAGGTCATACATACAAATGCTGTCGCAGTACACAGAAGCATGGTATCAATAAATACTGAGAACATCTGCACTAACCCCTGCTTTACTGGGTGGGTTACATCTGCCGCTGCTGCTGCATTTGGAGCAGAACCTACACCGGCCTCGTTACTGTACAGACCACGCTTGATACCGAACATTACACAGGAGCCAGTGAAACCACCGAAGATAGCCTCCAAATCAAAGGCTTCATTGAATATCTGAGCAAATACCTGTGGCAGCATATCCACGTGAAGAATCACAACAATAGCAGATACTACTACATACAGCAAACCCATGAAAGGTACAAGGATAGATGCAGTTTTAACTACTCGCTTGCCACCACCGAACAGACACCAGCCTACCAGCACTGCCAAAACAGCACCGATAACAGATGGAGTTACATCTGGATTGTAGAAAGAATATGGTGAGAAGGTTGACTGTAAATTGTAGGAGCAAAGCAGATTAAAGCCTACACCATAGGTTGCAATAAGTGCTACAGAGAACAGATTGCCAATGGCTTGCAATGTAATGCCTGCTCGATGTAATATGCAGGACCACCATAACTGCCATTCGCACCACGTTTCTTGTAAATCTGAGCCAATGTACTCTCAATAAATGCTGATGCACCCCCGAAGAATGCAGTTACCCACATCCAGAAGATAGCACCGAAGCCACCAAGGCAGATAGCAGATGCAACACCTACGATATTGCCAGTACCTACACGAGATGCTGTAGACACCATCAATGCCTGGAATGAAGATACACCATCCTTATCCGCTGGCTTCTCCATAATTACTCGTATCGTTTCCTTGATAAGACGAAGCTGTATCAAGCCTGTACGAATAGAAAAATAAATACCTGTACCAAGTAACATGATAATCAGCAGCTTTCCATACATGAAGTTACTGATATCACCAACTAAAGTTGCAAATGAATCCATAATTTTCCCCTCTCCTAAAAAATAAAAACTGCATGATAGCGTTTCTGCCACCATGCAGTAATATTTACGTTAGTGTCCTAGACTTACTGATTACCAGCTTGCCTTGGTTACGCCTGGGATTGCACCCTTGTAGCTCTGCTCACGGAAGCATACACGGCACATCTCGAACTTACGGATGTAACCATGAGGACGACCGCAGATCTTGCAACGGTTGTGCTGGCGAACCTTGAACTTAGGATTTTCCTCGTTCTTCTTCCACTTTTCGATCATGGATGTCTTAGCCAATGTCCTTTACCTCCTTCTTATGCGCTGAAAGGCATTCCCATGAGCTTCAGCAGCTCACGAGCTTCCTCGTCAGTCTTTGCAGTAGTTACAACTACGATGTTCATACCACGCAGCTTGTCGATCTTATCGTACTCGATTTCTGGGAAAATCAGCTGCTCCTTCAGACCAGTAGCGTAATTGAGTACTCTGCGTTGATACCACTGCTT